AAGAGCTGGTGCAGACTGGTAGTGAGTGGGACCCCCCCCCGCTGCCATGCCGGACCCTTACGACAAGGACGTGTACCCTGAACCCCCGCGCCGCACCCCAGCGCCCTCGCCGCAGACGTCGCTCCCTAATCCCATCACCTACTTGACTAAGGCCTTCGACCTCCTCGTGGATCGGCCTGTGACCCTTGTGAGAGGTACAGGCCCTGGATCCCGTCCGCCCTGCGAGGACCCTTGTGGCCCCAGCGTCCCCGCGGCCGCCGTCTGTAAACCGCGAGCTCCATAGCCTCGCTCCCCCCCCGCCACCCCTCCAGGAAATTGTGGGGCTCCATGGATTAATTTGACTTCCCCACTGCACCCTGGGCCCTTCCATTGGCTTTCCCTACCCACCGCCGTCCCTCGGCCTGCGTTCTCAGCCTTCCTTGTAATAGGGGTTGTTTGCACTCAAGCCATCTTGAGCCCCTGGGCTTGCTAGACCAGACCCCATCCCACCCCACCCCCAAAGCACACTTTGCTCAGTGTGCAAAGAAGCCCGTTCTGCACGTCTCTCGCTAGTCACCTGCATCTTCTCGGGGTGGCCATCAGCCCCCTCGGTATACACGTCTTCACATGTAGTGTGATCGCTCCAGCTCATCTCCGGTACCAATCAGAGACTGCTCAGTGCATGAGGTCCTGAGTTTGATTTCCAGTACCAAAAAAAAAAAAAAATTGTGCTTAAGCCATCCTTCTATTTCATCCTCCCAGAGCTGGGGCTTTATAAAGGGACCTGGGCTGCATGCAACACTGCCAGGCAAATGAGGGAGTATGATCTACAAACCAGACCTTCGAGAATTAACTGCATTGAAACCAGTTTCCTTTCTTTGAGTATCTTAGAAACATCTCAATACATGGGTTTATCCAGAAGTTTAGTGATATTTCTGCTGCTTCCTGTCAGGGGCTCTTTTGTCTACATAGTAGGATCCCTGTACTGAGCATGTTGGCTTGTGGAACTGGGTTCTGAGTCCTGGTCCCATCTATACTTAAGAATCCAGCCTAGGGGCCGGGGAGATGGCTCAGTGGAGTAAGCACTTGCCTGGCAAGCACAAGGGCCTGAGTTCAATCCCCGGTTCCGCAAAAAAAAAAA